AACAATATTTACATTTTCAGAGGAGTAATTATTGATTACTGTGTTCATTTCTATTGTTTAATTTTACGAGTGCCAATTTTATTGTTTGAGCTACTAGCTGTTGAGATTGCATAGATCCCTCTTGAAACTTGAAATGGTTACGAAGGTTCCAATTATTCCGATTCCGATTAACGTCGGAGCTTTCGGAGATTTCCATTCACCATCTGGGAAAATTGACGGCCGCATCCCCACCACCAACACACCCCACTCACCAAAACTCAGGCATAACGGTCCCTCGGTTGACGCTTCACACCAAACGGCACGGTAATTAATCGTCCTCAGCCAGCGGAACCAGTATCAATCACAGCAAAATATAAAAGAAAAGCCTGAAGTTTTCTCTTTATTAATACGGTTTAGGTTCATGCTTAGAATGCAGAACATTAGTTGTTACATTGGAGGACCAAGACCATGAGTGCGCACGTGCATGTGAGTTTCCTGAAAAACCAAAAACATGCTATTTTGTCCTTAAAGCAGAATGGAGTTACACCATGTCAGCCGAATGTTTTGATTGTCCCTCAGTCGTAGAAGATTGTTACCTTGAGGGGTGCAATGCAGTCGATGGCTCTGTCCGACCTGCTGTATCAACCAACACACAAATACCTGGGCCTAGTATCCAGGTAAGCAAGATCAAAGGATCAGGGGAGGCATCCTGTTGTCGAACTCTACTAGATGTTGAGGTCGTACTAAAAAACTAATAATTTACCGTTCACAGCATAGTTATTGTGATTTCATCATTTTGTGGTTTAATAGCATATTATGACAATCTTAAGCCCTAAAGTCGTCAAAAAACCCCAATCTATACGTGACCATGGGGTCTTCACCTACACTTTGACCAGAGGTCCGGCGGCATTTTGGTTCGGACCTTTATTGGTACTTATTAGACACCCTGTCAGTGTTTTGGGCCATCACTGCAACCAGCCAAAAAATCACGAAATGAATACCATAGTTCTCTATGTTTCATTTTAACAGGCATTAAATAATTAACAGTTCTAAATTGAATTACTGGTACTACTTGGCATTTGTACTCGCATAAATTTCTAACTAACAATTATGCACTTTTACAATTATAAGAAGACAAAACGAGGAATAATGAACGAAAGAGGAGAAATGAAACAAACAGCCCCAAAAGGGTGTTTTTTTAGTCTATACTTATAGATAGATGGGCGGGGACTTGGGGCTGGCGACCATAAAACCGCTATCCAGACTTTAGAATGTGGTATAGTAGTAGGAGTTTGGCCTGGTAGATCTGGGGCATGCTGAGTACCAGAACAGATCTAAGGTATAATGTGTACACACCGTTATACCATACAGACCTATAATTATTACATCAACTGCTAGCTATGAATATTAATTAGACGATTTGTTATCTGTTTAGGTTTGTCATGGTGACACTGTTCGAGTTAGGTTGATAAATGAACTTGTTGATCACTCTGGTCTAACGATTCATTGGTATGGGATGCACCAAATTGGAACAAATTGGATGGATGGAGCATCAATGATCACGCAGTGTCCCGTACCACAGTCATCCTCGTTTGTCTATAAGTTCATTGCTAACCCTGCAGGAACCCATTGGTGGCACGCACATTCCGGTTACCAGAGAGATGACGGTATGTTCGGTTCACTGATCGTAAAACAGCCGAAGGAAGCCGAGCAGAATAGTAATGAGTATGACGTAGACGTGGCAGAAAATGTAATCATGTTATTAGACTGGTCGAGCCGACCAGCTATAAGTGTGTTTTTGATGACACAGAGTCCCTCCAGATATATAGACACGAGCAAGCAGACATTTTCGATGTTGGTAAATGGTAGAGCCATTAGTAAGATTCCTTATACAGGTGACACAAATGATTACTACACCCCACTATCTACATTTGAAGTTGATGAGGGCTTGGCGTACCGTTTCCGATTGATAAGCGGTGTTTTTGGTTGGTGTAATATGCACGTTTCAGTTGAATCACATCCTCTGACAATCATTGCTCTTGATGGTTATGAAGTGATGCCTACAGAAGTAGATTCGTTGGTTGTAGCTCCTGGAGAAAGGTATGTTTAACAACCACACCAGTAAAATCTATGAACTTGAGGGGCCCCGGGACATTAATCTAGCATTTTTTTACCAGGACCATGAACCACAATTCGGTCGAGCGGGACACTTTAATGTCCAGAATGTGTGAAACGCCATGAGCGGACGATGCCACCCCTCCCCCATACGCGCCCATCCCCCGGTTTGTAGAACCCAAACAAGAATTACCCAGGCCCCAGTCCTGAGCCCTCTCCCAGGGGTAAAAGAAAACCACAATTCGTCGGGGAGAAATAAAATGTATTTTCTACATATTAGTAGACTGTAAAATCGATTAAATAAGCCTTTGAAACCATTAAATTGTCATATTTTTTTTGGGGGGGGGGGCTTCGCCCCTGGAACACTTACGGGA